GCCGGAGTAGGCCAAGAGGCAGTCCGAGTTGGTACCAACCACTTGGACTGCATGTACTTGGCCAAAATGAGGCCATGTACCTCCAAAATGGCCTAGTAAGTGCATTTTGCCTTAGGGGTACCTCGGTTCACTCCAAGGTTCATGGGGAGGCTCATGGGCTGGCCGGACTGCTGGTTTCAGCCTACATAAGATGAGGATGCAGTCCGCCACTCTCACATTTGCATGAGGAGTGCCCATGCTGCCCATGTGAGCTCACAAGAGCATCTTTGCACTTGGAGTGAGGAGGGAGGAGCCCATGCTAGTGGGAGAGCTTAGAGGAGACTAGGAGGTAGTGGGGAAGACTCTAGAGGATAGTGATGGTGGGAGAGAATCCCCCCTAGGTGTAGGAGAGAAGGAGAGGCTAGAGGAGCCCCATTAAGCCCTCCTAGAGGAGAGGACTCCATAGCCATAACTATGGAGTTTGCCATAGCTTGGGGAAGAGTAAGGAAGAAGGAAGAAGGGCTTGGAGAAGGAGGAAGCCATAGCCAAGGAGGAATTCGGCAAGGCCTCATTAAGATTGAAGCCTCCATCTACAAGACACTAGCAAGGTGAGTGGAAGGAAGAAGATCTCTCGTCTTCTTCTTCTTCTTCTTCTTCTTCTTCCTCTTCTTCTTGCTCCCCCTCTCCCTCTTCTTCTCCCCCTTCTTCTTCACCTTCTTCTTCTTCCTCTTCTCCCTCCTCTTCTTCATCTTTCCTACCTCATCTACTCCATCCTCTTCCTCCTCCTTCTTCTTCTTATTATTATTATTATTATTCTTTTCCTTCTTCTCTCCCTCCATCCTCTCCCCCTCCATCTCCCTCTCCATCTCCTCCTCCTTCCTCCTCCCCTCCTTCTCTCCTACCTCTTAGAGTTGGGCTATCTCTTATTTATCATCTATATATTAGTAGGTAGAGTTCCGATTCTAGAAGTGTTGTCAAGTTCATTACTTGTCATGTGGGCTACTCAATCTCTTGTTTGTCATCTACATA